TGCCTCCACCTCCCAAGTAGCTGGGACCACAGGCGCCCGCCACAACGCCTGGCTATTTTTTGGTTGCAGCCATCATTGTTGTTTGGCGGGTCCAGGCTGGAGATTCGAACCGGCCACCTTAGGTGTACGTGGCTGGCGCCTTAGCCGGTTGAGCTATAGGTGCCGAGCCCACTATATTTTCAAATGCATCTGAGTTAAACTTGGTAAAACTCCATTTCTTGGAGATGTGAATCTTCTGACAGCCAGGGAACTTGAACTTGGTCCTGCGAAGGGCCTCAATCACATGTTCCTTGTTCTGTAGTTTGGTGTGGCTGGACACGATGACTTGGCCAATGTGAACCTGGTCATAGTGCCCTGGAGCTTTCCAAAGGCACCGCAAATACCTGTCTGGAACCTAGATTGGGGACAGCACAAGGTCTAACACATGAACATGTATTGGAAAGGAATGTCTCTAAGGTCCCTTAGAGCAACCTATACAAGCAACAGGCTACGTACACTAGCAAGGAGGCTGCAGCCATTGCACCAGTCCCCCATGAGGAAAGGAGCATGATCAGCTTATTACCTGCAGATCGTTAATTTTCTTTTTAAGAACAGAGGATAAGTCCAGTGCAGTGGCTCATGCCTGTAATCCTAGCACTCTGGGAGGCCAAGCCAGATGGATCGCTTGAGCTAATGAGTTTGAGACCAGCCTTAGCAAGAGGGAGACCCTGTCTCTAAAAAAAAAAAAAACTAGTTGGGCCTTGTCATGGGCACCTGTAGTCCCAGCTATTCAGGAGGCTGGAGCAAGAGGATTACTTGAGCCCAAGAATTTGAGGTTGCTGTGAGCTATGACGCCATGGCACTCTATCCAGGGTGACAAAGTGAGACTCTGTCTCAGAAAACAACAGGTTCAGTGCCAGCCACATACACTGAAGCTGGTAGGTTCCAAACAAGCCTGGGCCAGCTGAGGCAACAATGACAACTGCAACAAAAAATAGCTGGGCATTGTGGTAGGCACCTGTAGTCCCAGCTACTCAGGAGGCTGAGGCAAGAGAATTGCTTAAGCTCAAGAGTTTGAGGTTGCTGTGAGCTGTGATGTCACGGCACTCTACTCAGGGTGACATAGTGAAACCCTGTCTCAAACAAACAAAGCAAAAAACAACCAACACAGGATCATACTGTTCAGTGCTTTTTTTTTCATTTAATACTTAAAAAAATGTTTTGAGGTATAACATATATAAAGTGCATATTCTTAAGTGTACAACTCAATCCATTTTTACACATACTAATGTAATCTCCTCCAAGATTAAGCTATATAGAGCTTTTCCAGTACTCTAGAAGATTCCCTGAGCCCCCTTCCCAGTCAAAACCCTATGGCTATTATCCTCTATTCTGACATTTATCACAATAGATTAGTTTTGCATCTTTTCTTTGGTTATCTGGCTTCTTTCGTTCAATATAAGGGTAAGATTTATTCTTATTGTTTGACTATTTTTTTCTTTTCTTTTTTTTTGAGACAGAGCTTCAAGCTGTCCCCCTGGGTAGAGTGCTATGGCATCACAGCTCACAGCAACCTCCAACTCCT